CACACAATTCCTAAGCTCAGTCAGAACTGGCCATGGGAGGGGTAGAGTGAGGGGGGAGAGAGATAGGAAGACACGAGAAATGAGAGTTGTAACGTAGTTTAAAAAAAAAAAGGTAATTTAGTAGTCTAGAACGGACCGTTCCCAATCTGGAACAAGCTGTTCCAAACTACTGAATTGACCTATAAAACGTAGTTGAAAACGGACCGTTCTGGAGGGAGAATGGGTCGTTCCAAACCCCAAAACGGGCCGTTCTGGTTGGAGTACGGGCCGTTCTGATTTCAGAACGGGCCGTTTTGCATGTGATTTTTGCCCATGATGAAGGGGTGCAGAACGGGCCGTTCCGGATTCGGAACAGGCCGTTCTAGCCACTCCGAAACTTCTATAAATAGGAGTTGAGGGCAGTTGAGGAGAATGAGTTTTTAGAGAGAAGTTTTAGAGACAAGGACTCTGGGTCTGTGAGCTCCTTTCTCTCCCATTTCTCTGTATGATTCCTTTTCTCCTCTAGATCACTAATGCCTTCTGTCTTTCCTTGAAATTCAGATTAGGAAGCTTACTTTGGGAGGATTGAAGTTCCGGGTTGAGCTTCGGAAGGAAATTCTACTTCTTCTCAGTTGTTGGCTATTTTGAGCCAATCTTCAGGTGAAGGAAGCTAGAATGTTTGTTGTTTAGGTTGCATGTGAGTTTAGAAACTCAATAGGTGCATGAATGTTGAGAATCCATAGATGGATTGAAGAAAATCTCATTTTTGGGGTTTTGAGAAAAAGGAGGATTTTGATGCATAGTTTGGATGCATGTGAGATTTAAGTTTATTTTGATTCGTATGGAGCCTATGCATTGTGTTTTGTGTTTGCATGTGGCTGAATTTGTTAGTTTGGATAAGAGTTTTGAACTCTCTGACTGGGATTTAGGCCGGGCACAGGTTGAGCGCGCTAGGCGTGGAAGAGCTTAGGGCTCTCAGGTTGGATGTTTGGCCAGGCATGATTTGGTTGCGTCAGGCGTGGAGACTCTTAGGAGTCTCTGTCTTAAGGACACCGAGCGTGAGTTGAACGCGCCAGGTGTGAATGAGTTTTAGGACTCTCAGGTTGGGATTAGGCTGGGCGAGCTCAGGCTGCGCCGAGCGTGAATATGTTTATAAATAATTGATTTAAATTGATGCTTATGCATGTTTAAAGTTGAAATTTTAGATCATGTATATATGATATATGATGTATAATGCAGTGTGATTCATATGTATGCTTTGTGATGATACGTATGAATGTTTGAATATGATATGACATGTGTATATATTCATATGGGTATGTTTATTGATCATAATGGTGGTAGACCATGTATGATGTATGATGCGTTATTGCATGTGATGTCTTATGACATGTGTATGATTGTTGATCATGATGGTGGGCAGACCATGTATGATGTATGATGCATAATTGCATGTGACGCCTTATGGCATGAGTCTAGCCTAGGACTTGAGGAGAAGAAAAATATTTTCGAACTAGAAGAGCTCACATAGAGTCTCTTGAGAGTGGTGCTTGGATATGCCACTGATATATGAGAGTGGTGCTCTGGGAGGCCACTAGATTTGGGAGAGTGGTGCTCAGATAGGCCACTGGGTTGGGTGAGTCTCCTCTAAGTCCTTAGCTAGTGTTGGAGCGAGGTATGAGGTCGAGGGTTATTCCCTTAACCAAGTACTCGGAAGGTGCGTGGGTCCTTGCGGATAGTCGGTGGGTGAACTCCATAATTGACTTGGTTATGCATGCCAAGGTCATGGTAAGCCCGTACCTAGTTGTGTTATACTTGACGGTGGATCTGGACTTCCAATTGTGTAAGTGACATCATCCGAGTAAACTCGAGTGAGGATTATATCCTGTTTTGTTTAGCTGTGACTGAGCATGCGCATTAGGCGTGAAAACGGTTGGGGTGGTTTCGGTAGGTTGGAATATCACTTATACAGCTCTATTGTTATGGAGATCTCCTAGGTGTATGCGTGACGACACATTAGATGATTGATATACATTGATATCTGTCATGAGATGCATTTATTGCATGATTATTAATATGATGAAGTATGGTGTTTGACTTCATGATTAGTGGATTGTATTTTATGCATGAGTAGTATTGGATAGAGTATGGTGTGACTTTATGAATATGATTGATAGTTGGATGATTGTGTAGTATAGATTATTGTTCTATACTTGTATGATTAATTTGTGAATTCTAGCTTATCCTTCTGTTTTCATGTGGTGGAACTGCGATGATCATACTTGGTATGGGAGCAGGTCAGGGCTAGCTTGGAGTTGAGGTGACTGCTGCGAGACTAGGAGTTTGATCCTCGTGTTAGGGTTACCATTTTGGGTAATAGTTTTGTCTGTGCTTGACTAGCACTAAAAAATAGTATTTTTGGGATGACTGTACATATATGGCGTTCTATTTTATAACCAGAAACTTAGTTATTTTCATTTTTATTTGTACATGTATGTATGAGTTATTCAACTTAATATTTCTCTTAATTTCACTAGCAGTAGTGTGATTCCACTAAGTGTAGAGACCATGACGGGTCGTTACAAGAGTGAGAGAAGGAAAGGGAGAGGAAGAGAGATACGGAGAGAGGAAAAGAGAGGGTGAGTGATAGTGATAAAGATAAGGACAAAAGAATGAAGGAGAGAAAGAAAAGTATATATTTTTTGTTTAAAAAAAAATACTGTGATATTTTTATATATATAAAATTTTCTTCATAACTCAGAAAAAATTGAATTTTCACTTTCTCTGAAAAGGAATGTTTTTGTGACAAAGTAGAATAAAAATGGGATAAAAATGATTTTCAAAAAATTACCAAACATGAGAAATTAAGATTCTTGATATAAGATTTTCAAGAAAGTAAAAACATTTCACATACCAAACAATTCCTTAGGATAACTAAATTCAAATAGCATTAAGAAAATATTCTATTATTAAAAGTTATAATTATTCAAAATATTTTTTAAGATAAATCATGTAAAATTTATTTATAATTTTAAATACTACTCTATTTTACTCTGTATATTTTATCTTGTGCATAAATTATTTTGTATCTTATATTCAATATTAAAAGTTGCATCACATATTTGATAAATATAAAAGGAGGGTTCACTTATCATAAAAGTAACTTGATTTACTATAGGGTTATAAAAATGTATAAGTTAAAATATTATATAATTTTTAATTTTTTAAAAATTTTGTAAACTTAATTTATATATTAATTTTTTTAATTTAATAGTTAGATGGATAAAATTTGATTAAAAATAACTATCATTTCATCATTATATACATTTTATATATTAATCACAATTTTTATAATATTTCAATGTTTTTATAAAAAAATATTTATGTGCTTAATTGAACTATATTCAATTTATTAAATGTTAATAGATTTGTTTTACAATAAACAATAACGTTTGAATTTTAAAAGACTGAAAAGTTTAAGAAAAAACGAGTTTGAGTTATGTAATTTTTAGCAAACTTTTTTTTAGAAGATTATTCTATTCTTAATAATATATAAATAAATATAGATATAGATAAAATATTATTTGTGCTTAATTGAGGCACATTCAACTTATTAAATATTAATAGATTTGTTTTTCAATAAATAGGAACCTTTGAATTTTAAAAGGTTGAAAATTTTAAGAAAAACATCATAGAAACTATATAATTTTGAGAGAAGACTTTTTAGAAGACTATTCTGCCATATATATATAGTATGCATAAATTTTTACAATCTAATTATTAAATTAAGATTTTTTTATTGAATAAATCAATTCTACAAATTTTGAGATTTAATTTAAACTGAATTTAGATTTATACACAATTACAGATTTTAAATAAAACTATGTGTTGTTCCATTCTTTCCAATTTTTATAATAAATATTAAAACCATTCAATCGTATCATAACCTTTATAATTAATATTAAAATTATTTAAATTCTGATAATTGTTTTTTTAATTTTATAAATTGATGGATATAAATTACATAAAATAGACATAATAACCATATCTTATTTTTTAAACATGGAAATAATATCTTATTCCTATATATACATGATAATTATATTTAATATCATACTACAATTCATTGACTAGTGACAAGTTATATAAAACATTTCAAATTAATTTAAAAAATGTGAAAAACACTTAAATTTAATTTGATTTAAATATCTTAGGGTTTAAAATTATTTAGTTTCTAAAAATTATTTAAAGAATATATATAGTTTAAATTTTAAACATTTAATACAAATTATTCTATACCATATATAAAAAGAATACATCTCTTAATTTGGTTTGATCTCTACATTTTTTAGACATTTATATGTATACAAATTCATATAATAAAAAATTAAATATATATTTTCTCTATTAATAATATACTTATCTATTTATTTTAGAATCACTTTTGATCTCTATTTTTGTTTTAGAGTATTTTACTCTTTTTTTTAATTATGCATAATTTTACATGTTGTAACCTCTATTATTTTAAACAAATTCATATGTCTTTTTTTTTTTTTTTTTCACTAGTTATTATAAATTTGATTAACTAGTTATAGTTAACTTTTTATAAGGTATTCTTATCAAGTCATGTTGGAAACAAGTTTTTTCATTTTGTTCCAGATTTTTTTTAGTTTGTATTTATCAGCAGATTATGCTCGAGTTTATTTTTAGAGTTTTCTAGTGGTTTATAAAGGAAGTATAATATGTGAAAATGGTTAGTTGAACAATAACATAAGGTAAAATATTGAATCGTTTGAACAAAATTTTAAACCTAGTCATAAAGTGCAAAAGTTCAATAGAGAAAACCAAAACCAAAATGGAAATACAGTAAAAAAAAATATAACAAGTAAAAACTAATAGTTAATTCTTAGAATTTTTATAACTCTTTAGCTTAAACTAATTTAGTCTTTTTCATCTTAAGGTACCTTCTAAGAATTTGGAGCTATGTTAAATCCCCCTATAGACATATTCTTTATGACAATAGAGTATAGGGTGTCTGAACACAAATCCACAACATAAACTTTAGTCTTTTCCATTATTGAATTAACAATTGATTCACCAAATTTCTCAATTTAAGAAGGCTTTATAGAGCATGAAACAAGCACCTAAAGTCTGGTACAATTGTATAGAAGATCACTTTGAGAAGGAAGGTTTCAACAAATATCCATATATGATAGCCACTCTCGGTCTGATACTATGTTGGTTAGTTGGATGACAAGCAAAGTAGATGATCAGGTCGTGTGTTTATGTTGGGATCAACTGTTGTATCATAAGTGTAACACTACTGTTCCATTGCTTTTATCATATGATATTATGTTGTGAAGATATTTGAGAGTTAAATTGTTTAAATTAAAATGAAGGTGGATGAAGCTTTGAGGGAAAATGTTGTACCCCGAATCCACCGTTTGGTTTGATGGAAGGGAAAGAAGAAGGAAGAAGAAGAAAATCTGCAGAATACGAAGCAGTGGTAAACGCAGGGCCTCACCTGAGACGTCTCCAACAAGCTCACGCTCACCTCGTCGTCAGAGGCTCCCACCGCAGCCGCGCTCTCCTCACCAAGCTCCTCACGCTATCCTGCGCCGCCGGTTCCATCGCCTACACTCGCCGACTCTTTCGCTCCCTCACCCACCCAGATTCTTTTCTCTTCAATTCCCTCATCAAAGCCTCTTCAAAATTCGGTTTTTCCCTCGACGCCGTCGTTTTCTACCGCTGCATGCTCCTCTCTCGCGTTGCCCCTTCCTCCTACACCTTCACCTCCGTCATCAAGGCCTGCGCCGATCTTTCCCTTCTCCGACTCGGGACCCTTGTTCATTCCCATGTTCTCGTTAATGGGTATTCCTCGGATTCCTTCGTCCAAGCTGCGTTGGTCACTTTCTACGCGAAATCATCCGCCCCTCTTGTCGCCCGCAAGGTGTTCGACGAAATGCCTCAGAGAAGTGTCGTTGCTTGGAACTCCATGATCTCGGGGTACGAGCAGAACGGGCTCGCCAATGAAGCTGTGGCGGTTTTTAAGAGGATGGTTGAGTCCCGGGTCGAGCCTGATTCCGCGACTTTCGTTTCGGTGTTATCTGCTTGCTCTCAACTGGGGTCGCTTGAGTTGGGGTGTTGGCTGCATGAGTGCATCGTTGGGAGTGGAATTCATGTGAACAAGGTACTTGCTACCTCGTTGGTGAACATGTTTTCGCGGTGTGGTGATGTGGGAAGAGCACGTGTGGTTTTTGATTCGATGAATGATGGGAATGTTGTTTCGTGGACGGCTATGATATCCGGGTACGGGATGCATGGTTATGGCGTTGAAGCGATGGAGGTTTTTAATCAAATGAAGGCGCGTGGGGTGGTGCCTAATAGTGTCACTTTTGTTGCTGTGTTATCTGCTTGTGCTCATGCGGGGTTAATAGATGAAGGGCGTTTAGTGTTTGAGAGCATGAAGCAAGAGTATGGCGTGGTTCCGGGAGTGGAGCATCATGTTTGTATGGTTGATATGTTTGGGCGTGGTGGGTTGCTCAATGAGGCGTACCAGTTTGTCAAAGGGCTTAGTCCTCAGGAGCTTGTTCCGGCGGTGTGGACTGCATTGCTTGGGGCTTGCAAGATGCATAAGAATTTTGATGTTGGGGTGGAGGTTGCTGAGAATCTCATCTCTGCTGAGCCAGAGAACCCTGGTCATTATGTGTTGCTTTCTAACATGTATGCATTGGCGGGAAGGATGGATAGAGTGGAATTGGTTAGGAATGTGATGATCCAAAGAGGGCTTAAGAAGCAAGTGGGTTATAGCACCATAGATGTTGACAACAGAAGTTATCTTTTCAGCATGGGTGATAAGTCACACCCTGAGACCAATGAAATTTATCATTATTTGGATGAGTTGATGGGGAGGTGCAAGGATGCGGGTTATGCACCTTTACCTGAGTTGGCGATGCACGAGTTGGAAGAAGAAGAAAGGGAATATGCTCTTAGATACCACAGTGAGAAGCTTGCAGTGGCATTTGGGCTGATGAAAACTGCTCATGGAGTGGCTCTCAGGATTGTCAAGAACCTTCGGATATGTGAAGACTGTCACTCAGCAATTAAGTTCATGTCTGTTGTGACGAATAGAGAGATAATAGTTCGGGATAAGCTTCGTTTCCATCATTTTAGAGAAGGCTCGTGTTCTTGTTTAGATTATTGGTGATAGGATTTAAACCCGTGTGAATCTGATTAATATTGTGAGAGTTGTACTGTAGTGTTTCGATATGCATAACCAAAATATGCAACAGAAATAATATAACATGGCATGCAAAACAAAGATCACAGAAAATTTTGGGTGGTGATTTAACATGTAAATCCACCAGCATTTTTGTGAGTGCTAACCTATATTTTCATTACCAAGAAAACAGTATGGTTTACGAGTATTTCTCGTCTGATCTTCTCTATATGCATATGTTGGGCCTAGTGAAGCTATATGATTCCTATATTTGCGGCAAATTGGTTCTACTATTGCTTCGACTTGTGACGTAATTTTTAGTAACATTACATTTTATGTTTCTTACGAGCGGTAAGGCTACTTAAGACCATAGAGAAGAAAACTGCTCATCAATAATATGGCTTATTTTATCCTTGAATGTAATATGAATAGAGTTGATCACAAGGTCTCTAACCAAAATCACAATGGGGATAAATTAACTTTATTGGAGAAGCCAAAAGAGGAGGGCACAGAACAAAAAGAAAAGTGACAATAATGACTTCATAAGAAATGATGACTATATTGTCGATAAGTTGGTCCATACCGGATGATCAAGTGGTGACATTTAACGATGACCACTAACCATGAAGATTTTTTATGGCACTAAACTGAGAAAATCTTGACGGTAAAGAGTTCAGTGAGTGTGATTTATACAATTATTGATCTATACTTGTGATACTAATTGTTAAATATCTCATGCTTGGTTAGCAGTGTGATGCTGTTATTTAAATGTATAAGTGAATTACACTGATATCCTATGAAATTTTCTGAAATTGTATTGACATATTTTTTTAATGTCTACAGTAATCTCAATAACAGAAAGTTATAATGTAATATTTTTAAAATAAGTAAGGGGTTAATTTAAAGTCTAAGGAGAGTTAAAATTATGTTTTTCAAACAATCAAGTATTGTAAAAAAAAAAAAAAGAAGTGTTTTGTGTAATTTCACGAAATCTTAAAGATCTCAGTACAATATATTCAATGTTTAATTGTGTTAACTTTGTTCCACAAGTGATCAAGAGTAAATAAATGTGTATACAGTTAATAATATGTACTTGTATATACTAACGTTAAATGTGTTACAAGTGGTTAACAATATCATCAGGTTATTGTAATTGTAGTTTTTCATTTTTTTAACTCTGCCTTCTCTAAATTCTCCAACACTAACATGTCATAGAACTTTTGTTCCTCATTATCAAATGGATGAAAAGACATATAAGTCTAATTATTCTAATAATAGTAATTCTTATTTCATATTTTACATCTACAAGCCGTGGTGTGATCCATACACACATACCACAATAAGGAGTCTGTATTGTTGATTTATTTATCATCAATACAAGAGTAACAAACCTTTAAAACTACAAAAAGAAAATCTAAGATTAAAATGGATATTACATTTGATACATGTAAACATAATATTACACTTAGGATTGGAATATCTTGGTCGGGAAATTTGACAGTTACTTACAACTCAGTAAGTAAAAGTTATTTTTGTAGATCAACAAACTGACTGCAATCAATTCCCTTGTCGGAAAATGTCTCTACAAGCCTGGGGAAGAGCTTAGAAAGCATAATTTTAAATCCTGTTGAAGTCCCCTTCTGATTTTCATGTTCAGTTTCTCCACTACCAAAAGCATATCCAATGGAAGCTCCTTCGAGATAAGCCTTACAAGTAAGAAGAATATGTTGGGAGCGTTTTCTGAAGTGCTCTTCCACCAGTGCTTCAAAATGCTGCATTAGGCATCATTGTCAGGTTCAATTCCATTCATGTAATTACATTTAAAAGATTCAGATGGACCCCTTTATTGCGCCTTGTCTAGGAATATGGCTACATAGAGGATCCAAACCCTGGAAGCCTCAGTACAATCTAGTAGAATAAATTTAATAGTGAAAATGGGAAATCTACGGAAACTTGAGGTCATGCCAGGAAGTATGAAAAATTGGAAATCATGGACACAACGGCTAGTTCTGATCCTCTCCATTATAGTGAAACATATCTTTGAACAATTCACCAAATTTTTCATCAAAATGAACCTCTTCGTGAGAAATTATGTATTTATTTAAATATGCATCATATCTAGTTTATGCTCTAATAATGTATCATGCCTTTTTGTATGTGTTCCAACTTCCAAGAAACTCATTTTTGGCATTTTTACACTACTTGTTACTTAATGGTCAACATATAACTAATTAGAGATGCCACTCAGAATTATTGTCTATTCTTCCTATACCATCTCTGAATACAGAGTAACAATAAAGGAAATCCAAAATAGTAATTTTACCTTTGGTGGTTTTCTTAATAGATACATCATGGATTTGGTTGTGACAAGGAAAGCATTTTCATTGTAACTGACTGAGTTTTTCTCTCCCTCAGCTCTGCCAATTTGTTGGTCGTATCCAGCCTCATTGAAATAAGGCTTCTCATTGAGGACAAGTGCCTGTAGAGAGAGAAGGACTTGAAGAATTGTGGAGGTTCCAGGGTTCCACACTTCAGTCCCTGTACCTGTCCAAGTGTTTAGGAGACTCAGACAGATTTTTCCTGACTCATACAAATTAGGATTTAATCGGAGCCCTCCAGAATTGTAGTGCACCATCTGCATGGGATTTCAAAACACCATTATGTCATGGCAACATGAGAGATTTTTCAGATATAAATATTGAGTTTGAGATCTTTGAACATGAGATGATACAATATGGACTAAAATATTTTCTACAGAAATGCATATTTTAAACTGTACTTCTCAGTTCAATGAAGAGAAGGACCTTGCAAACAAGGGTGCTGATGCATGAAATCACAAATGAGAATAATTAACAAGAACTGCAAACTATATTTAAAAGCTTACAGGTGGTTCATTGGGGTACTCTGGAGGGAAGCATATATCAAAGAAAAACAATCCATCATGATAAGGGGTTCCAGATGCACCAACAATAACTGCTCGCATGATATCTATTCTTTCTTCAAACACACGAACGTAAATAGTTTCTGTTTTGGTCAATGAACATTGTAAGTGCATTTGCAGATATTGCTATCAATATTTACAATGTACTTTTACAGATTTCCCCTTTCATAAGTAAATGAAGTAATCAATACATGGCTTACATGAAATTACATTAAGGAGCATTATGTAACAATAAAAACTGCACTGTCTATAAAAGAACTTGGTTCAAAATAAATAAGATATAGTACGCACCAGGAAGATTTTTCTCGAGGATGCTCCATTCTTGTTGAACCTTTTTCACCCAACTTCTTTTTACCTGCAAAGGAAAGAAAACAATTAGCCTAATAGATCAAAGTAATAGTAAGTCACTTTAAGTGATGATCAATTTTTAACCTGCGACATTGACAACCCTTTTCCCTTGTCAAAAAAATGGTGGTCAGGGCAATTTTCTAATACATCAAACTGCTTGAATTGGTTTGAACTGTTGCTGTCTAAAGAAAATGGAAAATCCTTCTTCTCCTGAATCATAACAATTTCTGGATATGAAGTTTTGTCTTCAGGAGATTGCAACTCGATCACTGGATGTTGTTCAGTAAAGAGGGCACAAGTCTGCAAATCTTTCTTATCTATTAAATCATATCCATTCTCTTTTTCAAATGTAGGTACTGAGGAAACTGCTCCTGAAAGTAGAGTTCCACTAAGAGTGTGGAATATGCTTGTTTTAATGGTGGAGAAAAGTTCAAAGGCAGCTCGAGGAAGGGAAAAGGAACTACATTCCGCAAGATTCTTTGCACAATTCTCTCTACTGCCATCACCATTTAAGAAGTCCTGATCATATAAAAGTGACATATCAGTTTATAATTAGACAGTTGCATTGGTAAGTTCCTAGTCAACAATTAATTATTGAAAAATGTAATATAGGATGGTAACTGATGTCTTTAATTTCTAAATTAAATTTTTTTGACAAAACTAAAAAAGAATATAAAAGTTTCTTTATTGTTTATTCTTGCTATATTAACTACCTGTCTTTTCACTATAACTTCCAAGCTGAGGCTTCTTTGTCTCAAATGTCCCAATTATATAAATCATTCAACCATTTCTACTAATGCACATGCATTAACATAACACACTTGGATGGACACGAAGATAAAACACGGGAAAAAAAAAAAAGAAGATATGGCCATCACCTTTCCTTTCTGGTCAGAAGGTAGACTCCCGTGTTCAATTATCTCCTGAGTTAACTCTTCAATATTTGTCTCATAAGGAGTGGGACTTAGAATTGAATCTTCATGTTTATCAATCCGAAAAATTTCATATGGTGCAACCTGTTGGGCAAAACAGAAACCATTCATATATTACTTCCAGTAGATAAAAAGCTACAAAATATTGCCTAAAAATGCCTCTTATGTCATTCTGCCAGAAATTTTCTTGACTGGCCAATGTTGGCACAGTCCTAGTTACCTAAGTTCATTGAATATACAATATGTAGTTCAAGTTCAGTTGTTGCAATCCATAATTTGACTATGAATGGCAGAATTATCTATTAAATTCAAAAAATAAAATAAAGAATCATCCTTAACCAATGTCAACTAAATAAACAAGTATCTAGTAATCAACCAAGGTTTAAGCTCCGAAACACACAGCCACACAGTTGTAAATACCACTCTCAGGTAACAGATGTGTTGAGGATTAATAAGTTAATTGGACCAACAATTATCTGTTAAACTGTTCATCTACATCTTGAGGCGTGGGAAGCATAAATTTCATGAATTTTCCAGCATCACATTCATCTAGCAGCCTCATCTCATCAAAAAAATCTAGCAGCCTCATAAACTACATAATATTGAATACAGTAAATTATATATCTTACCTTGGTTGTGAAACCAGTTGCCCATGTCACCTCCACATAACCATCTTTGAAACCAGTAACATTGCCAACACAGGACATGAAATAATTATCAGGGAGCTCATCCTGATAACCCATTTGATTCCCATCTTTAGGAACTGCTTCTGCATTTAAGTCAGTCACTGATTTTTCTTTTTGTTTATCAGCTTGGTGACCAAGCTGTTTTTGAGCCGCCTTAAACATAATATCACCAAAAAAGCAGGAGTAATCTGGGTGCTCTACAAGTTCATAGGCACTCACAGTTTCCTCCAAATTATCTCCAGTCAAATTATCTGGGTTGGATATGGAAATAGTTTCCCATTGTACCTTTACGGTACGCTCCTTTGCATCCACACATTGGACAACACCCCATCTTTGACTGCTAGGTTTAAGAGGATCATCAGAAGCACCTCTTTCGAGCACAAACTGGTGAGGCCAAAATTCATGATTGTTTATAACATTCACTGGGAGTAAATTCTCTGGATCCAATCCCAAAGTATGTTCACCATTTTGCCACACAACATCAACTTTGGTCTTTATCTTCCCAATTATAAACAACTCACCAATGTAAGAGTTAAGGTTACTTCTCTTATATCCTATTGACACACACTGCTCCATGGTAAGATCAACTATAGGTGCTTGTTGAATAATCTGTTCCTTTTGGTCTTCAACTGAGAGCATGCACCAATCACCAAGCTGCCAGTTTTCATGTGAAAAACAAGATAACACAGTCAAGTTTTTAGAATCTTGCCAGCATTGGGGAGCACTCGCACTCAAATTGCAACCCACTAGAACTGGCGCAAGCCAGTTAACATACACCAAACCTACTTCCACAGCACAAATAGTTCCTTCATCATGATTGTCTCTCCAAGTGTCACATAGCCATCTAGTTGATTTAGAAGAATTGGAGGACTTAATCTTTACTCTCTGCCCTGGATAATATGGATACTGTGAATCTTCAGGAATATTACGAGTCAGTGGTAAAAGCTTCTCTCTTTCCAAGGCAGTGATATCACATTTAGTTCCATCGTCATACAAAACAGTCACTTTGTCCACCACCCTTTGAACCCGACCAAGCCAAGGGCCCTTAATTACATATTCACCTTCTAAGATGGAGCGAATCCTCAAAAGTTTCTTAGAGTTTACATTTTTTAATACTTTTCCTTTAACACTTTCCAAATCCACAAACATATCAAAACCTGTGACCCTACCCATTTGTCCAGATGGATCTGACAAGGAGCAGACCACATCTCCTTGGACAAATGCTCTCTCAAAAGAAAGGAAATCGTCAATCCTTCCAATGCTTTCCTCTAAACTTGATAATATGCTCTGAGCTTTCCCACCATAAAGAAAATCAATTTCCTCTTGATCTTCACTGCTGTTGCTGTCACTGGAAGTCTCCCAGTCTGAATCACTGATGGTAGGATCCATCAATTATATGCCTATCATAATATTTGATACTAATTCAATTAAACTATTAAAAACACAATGATTACATAGAAATAGGGAAGAAAACAGCTGTTAGTGCATGTACTGGAGTTCTCACCAGATTCTGAAATAGATGGAATCAGAATTATTCTGCACTCAATAGAAAGGATTCAACTGTTAAGTCATTCGTAGATTTTAATCCTATGATGTTTTTTCCCTCTGAATGAGACCTGTGCATGAAAAATAAACAAATTAGTAATTCATTTTCATTATTCAGAATTTTTAATATGGATATTTTAAAATTGTAAACAAAATTTTAACATACATAAATGAACATTAACAGTAAATAGGGATTCAAGATGATCCTTACCTTTTCAAGCAAATTAGGCTAATGTTGATTTCAATGGATAATTGTGGGTAATGCAAAATATTTCTGATTGATACTGCTTTTTGTCACACTCCAAATGATTATCTTGAACACTGAAACTGGAGATCTGATGCCAAACGAGATTTTTCCCAGGATAACAGGACCCAATCTTGGTCTGTTTTTGACCAATAGGATAATAAGAATCAATCAAGGAATCCAAAATGCCAAAGGAGATATGCCCAACTTGAAGTGGAATTAACCCTTGGGAGAGGTTTACAACAACAAAATGTTAACTGGCTACAACTATCAGATGGTTCTATCTTTTTTTATTTATTTTATTTTATTTTAATTTTTGGGTGGTTTACAAGAAGGAAAAATTTGTAGCTATTGAAGGAAGCAGACCAAGATAATCAAAAGATGCCAAAGGAGATTTGCCCTACAAAAAGGGTGGACTTCCTAGAGAAATTTCCTCTAAATGATAATATTTTCACTGAAGGCAAAAATTGTTTTTCCTATACTTTTACTACTTGCAATCCAACCAAAGGAAATTAAGTAACTTTTGCCAAAGGAGATTTGCCCGGTATAGCTGAATCTGAAAACATAGATAAGTTCCAGAAAGAGAAAAAGGTTCCTGCTCCAAGATTGAGGGTTACACTGCCAAAGGAGATCTGCCTCCACAATAATGCCTATTGCCTGACACTCTATCAGGTCTATCTGGTATCAAAGGAGATTGGCTAATATCTAGGACCAAAAATTTTCAGAGTTGCAATCAGGAATGGTATAGTCATTCAACAGAAATATTATCTGTTCCTTGATTCAAAGCAAAAGGGAAAATTCAGGAAAAAATTGCCATTGGCAAAAGTGCTTCTGCTACCAGATCCTTGTTTTTGAACCTGCAACAAAATGACTAGTGAATTCTTCCTCTAACCTTTTACAATACGAAAAGAAAATGAAAATAACAAAAGAATGAGATTGCAGATAACTAAGCTGGCTACTTTATACTATAGCATCAGAGTTCAGGAGGCAAGAGAAAAACTGGGATTAAAATTAAACTAGAGAACTAATTTCAATAAATGAATATGTTTAGTTGCACATCAAAGAAATAGAATCTAAAGGAATTTCCAAGTTTTAAAATAGGAATGAAATGTGAGTTGAATTCGATGAGTCAATCTGTCTAATTTTAGTGGGTTGAGTTGAACAAATAAATCTACCAATCCACTCAATTTACCCCGACAATACGGTGGGTTCAACCTGCCAACTTGGTGGATCAACTTGCCAATCCACTTTTTTTTCTAATGTTTTTAAGAGATAAAATTTTTAGGGGATTTATATTAGATTAATATTTTTATTTTATAGTTTAACTTCTTTTTATAGGCAATTATTCTCATTTTATATGAAATAAAAGTATTTTGTTGTAATCACATGTTTTTTACTCATACATTTTCATGTATAATATCTTCTTTTAATAGAAATATATATTATTTTATCCTTTTTCATGAAAAATATAACATCTCTACTCAATTTTACAAATAATAATAAAATATAGGTTGAAGTGATAATGTATATTGAAATATTTCAATTGATATTTTTTAAAAAAAATTGGATGAATTGAAGGTGAGTTAACTTGTCAACTCACTATTATTAACCCACCAATTCACTAAAATGAGTCAACTCACTAATATAGTGATAAGTGAGATTGGTTGCATTTTCAAACTATTTCCTTTGTTGGACTAACCTGTCCTGTCTCACTTTTTTGATAGGTCAACTTGTCCCACCTTGTTTTAGGTGAATAAATTCACTTTGCTACCTTATCTTAAAACTCAGCAATTCCCTAAGTTCCATTTCGTTGGTTATAAAAAACCCAACTTCGTGAGGAATTCATTGCACACAACTCATGTGTATCAGTATATTTGTCACCTCAAATTTCATAAAAAAAAAAAGAACAAAAAATTCAATTCCCATCGTCTCAAGTTGGTCTTTGAATAAGACAAAAAAAAAAGTAGTGGTATACATAAACAATGATATTGTGTAAACCACTAAATAAACTATAATTTGATATTGTCGAATTAATCACAGCTTTATTGCTTTAGTTGGAAGAACAATCCCAAAAACATTCCTTTAGATTTTATTGAACCAAGGGCTTCAAATGAAATAGCATCTAACGTAATTATGTTATTTAGAACTCAGTCTTATTGAATCCAGCACAATCAAATACCAAAATCTAGCATTAGAGTGAGTTTACAAAATGAAAGTTTTGATCCATTAACCTGAACAAACAATAAATGAATCCAATCTAAGAGTTAAAACTTAAAAGAAACGGAATAAATTAACAGAGCAAGGGAAAGTACCATTCACACATTTGAGATGGTTGGATCCATAAAAGGCTATAAAAGGTAGAGAACCACGAAACCTCCATGACTATAAACACCAAATGAAGGAACTCCACCCAGAAGAACAAAACAAACTGAAAGTATATGCTACTTCACAAAATTAGCTTTCAGCTTCAAAAAGCTATCTTATACTCTTCTTCTTCTTAGCTAAGAATTTGAACCTTGTTATAAGAAGGAAGAAGAGGTGGGTATTGTTCAGATAGGCTTAGTTCCAAGGCCAGTTCCACCATCCTCCACATCACTACCAAGCTTAGGAAGCATTGCAGAGTGACACACTGACTCTCTTTCTCTCTAAGAATGCTAATAAGGCTTTGGTGAAGATTGAACTTGTATTAGTGTAACATATGGAGACTTTTTGTAACATATAAATAAGGAGACTATTGAACCAACTAAAAAGAATATACCATATAGTACCCGACATAAAATACTAAGAAGGGACAGTTAGTGTCTAATTACCTTTTTGCCCTCGCTGTATAACAGAGTGACACAAGTCAAAACTTTGAAACTGGTCTGAAGCTTCAATGAAAGTGACTATAATTTTGGGAAATCTCCCTCGATTCTGTGTTTCAAGATGAATTATTGAAATCTAATGGACTTAATGAAAGATTTGATGCCACCAAGTTACAATTTACTGTGTGTCATATCAAACCATTTTGGTTCAAACTTCAAAGATCGCGTGCTTGTGTCGGGTTTTATTTTATTTTATTATTATTAGCGCTTTTTAGGGTAAAATTGTTAGCTAGGAATTTTGTAATGTCAGGTATTTGTCAAGGAATAAAAGTGAGGTTTTTAAATTTGGATAAGTCATTAAAGAATAGCTCAAATTGAAATAACATATTTGTGTATAAATCAAAATTAGTATTTTAGTACGTATTATTATATATAATTTAAATTTATAAAAAATTATATATATATAAATATTATGTTCGAATATATAAATTATATTTAAAATTTGTAAAAATAAATATTTAAACATGTAAATTATTTTTATATTTATGATAAATGATTTACATTATAATAAAAAATTATTTTTATTTATTGAAAAACTTATTTTAAAATATTAATATTTAATTCATAAATAATTATAATAAATAGAAATTGAATTAGATAATAAGTTAAAAATAATCCTTACAAACTTAAGAGTTATAATTAAATCCAAATAAAATGAAACACCTCCTGCATATACTTTCTTTTTTAATTAAGCATCAAATAACTTGCTGTGTCAATTAATGGAGTGTCGAACTTCACTTTCCAAATAAATACCAAATGTTTATCTGAATCACCAAAACGTGTTCCATAAAATGGAGCTGTAGTGTTCATCACTTCAATTATTTTCTTTTTGTTCAAACGATGTTAACAACACCTGTCAAAAAGTAATTAAAAGTATTTAAAACCAAGAACATATATCGTCATTATACTGCCATTAATCATTCTTTTATTTGCTTTAGTGGCAAAAGCACTAACTAATTAAATTTGCCGATTATATGCAGCAATTTCTAGCCATTAAGCAAGGATATCTCAAGTTTATTCTCCTGCATATTCTTATCAACATATGTAACTTTTCTTGCCAAACCAAAGAATATCCTTGATGCTTCAAAACTGAGTGGAATCATTTTACATGTAAATGTAGCATTAGCATGATCCAAAAGACAAAGGGACAATTTTTTGAGAATGTTTGGAGAGACAAGTAAGTGATCCAATTACTCTTCCTATTAATAGACAGAATGTCCCTCACAGAAACAGAAAGGATATTAGAAGCCAATTAGTTTTGGTTCTGTAGCTGAACCACAAAACTAGAAAACATTATTTTCGTAGTTGCCAATATTTAAAGAATGTGACTTAAGCACTAAGGCACTGTCTAGTTGGAAAAGTAGAACGGGCCACTAACTGAAAATGACCAACTCCTAACAACTTTTCCCTCTTCCTATAATTAAATGGAATTTTAAACCTTCTCTTTTCTTTCTTTTTGTTCAGTGGATTCCAGATTGTTAGTGCTTTTCGTACTTTGTTATGTTATGCAATATGCATATGCATGCCTAAGATTTGATTCCAAATTAGAATGACCTTTGATGATTGCTAGTGACCAAGTTATGGAATGATATGAAGGTTCTTCTTCTATATTAGTCAAGCATTTAAAAGTATGTTTTGGACTTCTGATTTTACTAGCATAACCTATTTGTTTGTGCTCAACTTTTCAGGTTCAATTCCCACCTTATATTGCTTTATTTTTCTTGATATACAGCCAAGGCAGAAAAATCAGTAACTGCTTGATTCAACCAAGTTCTAGTTTCTATTCACAAGTTTCTTTCAAACGCCAAAATATGAGCGTCATAAGGAAACAGAGATACTGCATAGTGTGATATCAGATTTTATTTTTAGTACATGCAGAGGGTTATGATTTTTTAGTTAGGACAAGGAATCAACTTCTGTAGACTGTTTTTGGTACCCTCTTTCAATCAGAATTAGAATTTTATCTCAAAATATACTTAATTATTACATTAAAGGTCAACACAAAATTATCGAAGGAAAACTCCTAGTTTGACTACAATTCTTAAAACATCTATAGAATTGTATCTTAGTTTTCTCCTTCTAATTAATCTAAATGATAACTCAAAAGTGTGAAATTAGACCAGTTTTCATATAATTATGGTGGGGCATCTCGAGATTTTTGGGGGCAGTAAGGACTAAACTATATCCAAGCATGACACTGCCACATTAGGCAGAAGAATATTGGATGACTAATTGCAACTTTCATCTGATCTAATTTGGTTCATATATGCTCCAGGATCTACAGTATTTGTCATTGCTAATGCTCTTTGTTTATTTTTTTCAACTTGTCTCTTGCACATTAAATTATTTGCATGGTGCAGGTGAAAGTAACACAAGAAATCCCTCAGGGGGAGGGGTACCTGGTCGAATATTCACATATTCTGTATCATGTTGTTTTGGGTGCATGCAATATAATTTGCATAGCATGATATCAATCTTGAGAGAATAAGGTGAAAGATCCTAATTGGTAGGTTTTGAGACACCTGTGCACCATATAATTATATATTTTTGAAATGGGTGTTTATGTGTCAATTTTGTTTGATTATGACAGTCATGGAAAACGATATTAACCGATGAAGGTGGATATGGAATTATTCTAGTTCCCAATATTGTACGTCTGAAATGCATAATCAAAGGTCACGAAAGTGCTTGAGCACGTTTTAAATTGACAATATTAATGCTTGTGCAGGAAAACATCAGCTAAAGCTAAAAGTGCTTCTCAAATCATGCTTATCCTGGACCTGTTCACCAAATCCCTCTGATTTTTGAGGAACACATGTGCCTCCATTAGTCATAGAGGAAAATATAAGAGTAATTAATTATATTAAAACCCATTTTGAGTCATCCTTCCGTAATACCAAATTACCAACTTTATGTTCTTGCTGCCAAAAATTACCATGTACGGTGAAAATAAAATCTATGCGATTTCGTGAGCACTTTCTAAGTTGTAAACAAGAAGAAATTAAGGCTGGTCAGTGCAGTGGCCAACAAAACCATGTGTAGCACTGAAAATTTAAGGTTGAGAACAAAGGCACGGTCTGCGTCACTACTGCAAAAGCTAGCACCAACCTTGGCTGTTTATTGTCTATGTGTAATAATTAAATGGGGCTTTTAATTAAGAATATACTCTAATGATTGAGCATTGAAGAAGATCTATGATAAAAAAAAATAGATTGACATGAAGTACTAAGATGCCTCTCACAAGACAAGAATAGCATATCCTATATGTTCTTGATACCTTAATAATCTAATCACCAAAGTATAATATAAAAAATGATTTTATAGAGTTAAGTTAGACTTAAATATGCAAATTTTTTTAGATAATACTAAAATTTATATGTTCTAGCAATTGTTGTTGAGATTATGGTGAAATTTGGTATCAGATTATCTATTATATATTGAGTCAAGTTAGATTACGCTTAAATGTCAAGTCCTAAAATCTTTTTACATACAAAGTGTTTAATTTTCAACATGAAAAAAAAAGAGTTGGACTAAAATCACAATATTAAGGCCAAGGACAAAATTTAAGTGTAGTACTATAACTATTTGTGGTGTTGTTCTCCTATTAAAGTCAAAGTTTCATCTTAAGTGTATAATATATTTTAAGTGTTTATTGTTTAGATTTACATTAAATGTAAATACATATTATTGAAATGAAATTCTAACTCTAATTGAAAAATAATACTTATAGTATTTATAGTACTACACCTGAATTTTGTCCTAAGATCAATTAACAAGTCAATTATATAAAACTAAGTTAGGTTAAACCACAATATTAAGACTAATTATCAAGTTCTTCCATCAAATTTTGAAATATCAAAAGTCCAAGAGTGTATTCATGACCACTAATAGCATAGTAATGTATGAACCTTTAGTTATAATTTTTGACACTTGAATTTGATAAGAATAACAATTTTACTCCTCTAACTTTTCTGGATGTTCCTAGCATATTATGTGCATGTGTCTATTGGAATATATAAAAAATCTCATATCGATAAAACAAGAAAAGAAATAACAGTTTATAAAATATACATATATTCCAATTGTTACAATTTATAAAATATGCATATACTTTGATAGTTGAAAGACTCTTTAAATGATAATCAAAAATAAATTTGTAAGGACTTGTACAAACAATATCTCTTATTATGAAATTATATGTAAAATAGTCTTATAAAAAATTTTTAAAAAATATAATTCTTCTCTCTTGATATAAATATCTAATCAAATAAATATCATAAAATATCTCTAGCAGTATACCCAGACCCACTTACCGGTAAATACACGAGCAAAACATGCACCATTGGAATGAAAACTTAATTGTTGGCAATTGAGAGAAAATTAAGAAGCATATAACATATCCCTTTGAAAACCTAGATTCACGCTAACAAATACTATTATTGATAAATAGTTATGTCCTTAAAATATATTAAAAGAACCTGTCATCGATTATGGGTTAAAGAATATTCCAGGTGCTAAAAAAATCTATAATTTCACTATTTAACTTATTTAGATGTATTTTCATTGGTGGGAAAATAACTATTTAATTATGAATGTTTCTCTCTCACACAGTCTCACTCGTTTATTAAAATGAAAACCTTTTTTTTTCTTTTCTTTCTGATACAGTGGCCCTTGTTTGCTCAATATATAGATTTAGGAAAAGGTTGTATGATACAAGTCTAATCAAAATCCACCATGTTCCATCAAATCAAAAAGAGAAAGATATATCAGCGAATGGTGCACAGTGGAACAAAATAATGGTCACATGTAACAGCAAGTTCATGGCAACCACAACCAATTGTGACAGTAAATCAGATAACAGCAAACTTTTAGAATGTTTGATAATTTTATATATTACAGTGGCAACAAGTGGAGTAGCTGTTGCAACAAATAATTTATTAATCAAAACGAAAGTGGAAGCGGCGGCCGGTGGAAGTGCTTTAAAATTTACCAACTCCTTTGAAGAGATTGAAGTGAGTCCACCTGTAACCACTTTGTTCAATGGAAGGAGATACTTCTTATTCTCTTTAACCCTTGCAACCACCCACTAAAGAAAAATCTATAACTTTGACATTTTTATTGTATTTATATCAAGCTCTTGTTGACCTCTCCTAGTTTTATATTTATATTGATATATATATATATATTTATATTTACTTTGAATTTTCATCAATCATAGTTTTTCTCAATATTCAGTTGAAAATATTATGATAAAGAGCATATGAGAATAATTTTCAAATTATGAGAGATCAATGTGAATCTGTGTTTCTTTTTTTGTTTATCCTACTTGGTAAAAGATTATATATGAATATTTCATAACATAAATGTATTAGAACTAATTGGAATATACCAACAGTATAGTAAAAAAAATTTTACCATGTCATTAATTAAGAACTGTTATATAATTAAAATAATTGGCTTAAATGTTATATATATATATATATATATATATATATATATATATGTATATATATTACTTTCTAATTTAGTGACAATGCTATAAGATATGCCTCAAAATACTAAAAGTAGTTAACTTACATAAATCAGCATTTGTGTTTCTTAATCAAGGTTTGAGGTTCGATACTTTCATAAGATATGAAGTCATAAGTGAATATATCACTTTATTTATATAGATACCAATTTAGTAGTAAAGAGTTATACATCCTTCTCAAACTAGGGGGAAAAAACAATATATGTTTCAAATAAACTCAATGATTTGAGTACACTAAAACCGAAAGTATTCATACACTTTGCTAGAATAAACTGTTGGAAAATTTAGGACATTGTCCTCATTTTTTTCTTTTGTGTTCATGCTTATTTATAAAGCATTGAAATTGATGACCGTGCTTTGTTTGTGTTTGAGTGGGAGAGGGGTCCATGCAGAGAATATACTAAATATGATTCTGGGCTTAACATTACATGTCTTTCATGAGGGGAAACCCTTAAGACACTGTATGGGTCCGCGGGGTCTACATATCTATTCTTGAGCTAGTGATGAGGAAGAAAAGGGCTGAATAGTGTAATGGCCACGTCTGAAACGGCCCATACTAATCAAGTCCAAGGTCAATCATTGGGTGGCGAGACATAACACGCTCATTTCCTTTAGCATTACTTTTAAGTATCAACAAGTTATTATTCCAAGTAATATGAACTTATTTCCTTTAACAAGCTCTTTATTTCAAGTATTATAGATAGAAAAATTGTAGTTAAGAGGAGAGACTTATTAAATATAAGCTAATCAATTTTTTTTTACGAAGAATAATTAATCGGTAAAATTAATAATTACTTGCACCAATAACATGATTTAAAAAAAAAAAAAAAAAACAAAACAAAAAAACTCTGCAATAGTTAAATACTTTAGTAGAGGGAACTAGCTGTCTCAAGTGGATAGGTTGAATTGAATCCTCATTCCATAGTCATTGTCTCTATCCAAAGAATCACTTAAATAAAAGTCTCATCCAAAGTTGGGTAATAGTCCCAAGTTCGGATATATCTTGCTGTAGACAATGACAATTGATAGATATGTCTAATCTTTTCTCTTTTTTTTTCTGATAAAAGGGTGGCTATCAATGAAAGAGATTTCCCCAGACCCACTATAATTCATTTATAGCCTCGGGAAAGAGTATTATCCCAACAGATTTATCATTCATAAAATAGATTGTATTGTGCTGTTGCCTTTCTTCTTTGCCACCCCGCAAAAGAGTTGGATTAGATACTAGCTTATAGAATTTTTTTTTTTAACAAATTCCATTACTAAAACTTTCTAAAGCAAAATGTTAAATTCTATTAAAGTTATAAATATTAATGAATAAGTTAGATAAGAGGATTTTCAAAGTTAAAGAGTGCAAACAATATCATTTCATTTTACTTAAATTTATTTTATTGTGTATGTTGAGAAATTTATTTAATTACTCCAAAACTCTTTGATAAAGGGTTTAACTCATCATATTTTTTATTATATCTATTTCTGAGGCAAACATGTTGCTAAGTACAAACTTTATATTTTTCCAACCAACTTTCATACTTTAAAATTGATTAGTTTAAAATAGTAAACCAAGCTTTAGCTTTACGTATTCAACTTGATTCTACTAACTCACATCTCTAGGCTGCTCTCGACAGTTCACGGCAGGGACCTTTTTCTGCACAAGAACCAGAACCTTTGCTTTTCCTAGCACAGGATGTGAAAGTCGAAGTTTACATTTTTTGCTGCCCAAAATTGGTAAAATGCATTATATACTATCATGCTTTTAACTAACAAAAAATACAGGAGTCATTATTAAATTTCTTGAGACCTTGAAAGCAGTTTAAGAATCAATGGATCTATGTTCAAACATCGAACCACTAATTATGGCATTACAAAGGGAAAAGAAAAATTGTGTAATAATCCTACAAAACCTGATTACCGAGTGGATGATTGACTATTTCCACCTACAATGGGGCTATCAGCAATACCATCATGCTCACTACATGCCATCAAACTATCAAAACTCATTTGAGACATAAAGATATCAATAACCGCCGTCAACAGCCAAGAGGGTAGGTACATCCCTTTAAGCAGTAACAGCAACCTTTTCCTTTTCTTTCTTAGCAACCTTTTCCTGTTCTTTCTTAGTAGATTTTGAAGGCTTTTCAGGTTTGATGGCATTTTGAGGTTTCTCAATTCCTTGAATATCAGTTATCCTTAACTTGGTCAACTCCTGAAGATGTGATAACCATGCATCAAGTAGAATCAATATCAATAATAATATGATGAAACTACACGTGATTAAATGATTGTTTTCCAACACACCTGACGATGCCCTTTGGTTCTTCGGTAATTCTTCCTTCTCTTTTTCTTAAAAATAATTACCTTTGCATCTAGTGCCTGATATAAAGGAAAAGTGAGCACACACGCAAGTATGTGGCAGGAAAAACGAATATTCAATGGTTAGAAAAGCCGGATAATTTTCATCATTGCATGACATAGAAATCACAAGCTATTAGAAACAGGTAGTTTAATGCATTGGCATATGCCTTTTTATTTAAATTCTTCTGCAATGAAAGAATCTTTTGACCACAAATGCATGCTGAAAAATGCAATCAACAGTTGAATTAAATGCAATATATAATTCTTCTTAATTCAACCAGAGGAAATTATGTCATTTTCAGTTACAATTCTAATTCCTTTTCATTATGATTGCAGAGGTATGAACGGAAAGAACTGCAATTGCAACCACACTTATTCTGCTCATATTCTATACAAACCTACTCCAATCTTAAAAAAATATAATTCTGTATAATTGAAATGGAAAGTTCTACACTTACATGCTCCTCGACAACAGCATGAACAGATGCATCGGGCACTATAGGTCTGCCAACAATTGTCTGACTAGCAGAGCCAAGCAACAGAACTTTGTTCAGAATCAACTGAAATGGGTAATGGAATTTTCAATTAACTGGCATAAAATATTCCATAACCCAAAAATAGCAAATAGATAACTATTACAAAGAAAACATCCCATTGATTATTAATTTATTATTGAAAAAACAATTTTTTGTAGAACTATCAAAATGGTAAGAAGCAAATATACAACAAAACAAGCCATTTCTCAGCACGTAGGGAGTACGCAACAATTGTACTTCAATCTCCAACCCCCCTAGGTTGACTTAAAAACTATTTGTTTTTGAAATCTTAAGAGATTGTTATTCTTATCTAGTTTTAAAATTTGATAGAGATCCAAAAGTCTCAATACACAGAGCATAATACAAACGTGAGCAAGTAATAGCCCTTGTTCAAATGAGCATCCCTTACAAGAAACTTGCAAAGGAGGTAAATATATCATTTGCAGTAGGAACAATATTACAAAAAGGTTCAGCATGTGACATTGCCAAAGTATTTGGGAGAAAAACAAAGGGATTGATTTACCATAGGTTACAAGCACTAAAAGAAAAATACCCAATGAGAGAATTACAATACTGAAAACTCCCATGCACTTTAGGTATTGCAATTTCCCAGCTCCCACAGCTAATCCAACAGGACAATAATGCCTCTCAACAATTCAACACTCGGTTGTTCCCCCTTACTTACCCAAACAGACCAAAGGGGTTTAGGATTGGCACTGAACAGAAGTTTTACACTTTCCAACGCATAAATGAAGCAATGTAAGTTCCGGATGTGCAAAATATACAATTGGGCCAAACCTATCCACAACTGTACTGGCCCAAACCACTTATAAATCTATTTTAATGGATCATATATTTTATCCAGTCCATGTTTCAAACCTGGGAAAATTCATTTTCCACTCCTTTTATTAAAAAACTGACTACTGATGCTAAAACATTTCAAACTGTGAATTAATCTCGCCTTCTTGCTAATGGGACCGCTACTGCCAGATGTGCTGTGATTGAGGATGTTCTTCAGAGAAGACAAGTTGGATACAGCCCCAAGCAAGGGTCCATGCAGGGTACATGGGACAACAGATGGTTGTTGTGGAATCAGATTTGAATGTAATATTGGTGCTTGTAATGCAGCACTGGAAGGTTGCTGCTGTGGCTTGATGCAGTGAGGGGTGCTAACAGTTGTTGCAACCATGTCAAATGTGGGGGTTAGGCCTGATGAGTTGTGTTTTGGGTTTCATGGTTATTTATATGCACTCAGGGAATTAGAAGAGAAAATAAATGAGTTGGAAGAGTTGATGGGTGGATTTAGTTGTTTAAACAGAAAGAGATTCTATACTGATTTGGTAAGTGGGAATGTTAAGTCAAGGTATGTAGCTTCTGTGGAGTCAACTATAGCTAAATGTCTGAATGGTGTAGATGGCAGATATTGAGGTTTTACTGAAAAAATTATGTAGTTAAGGCATATTTTCATAAGGGGAATATCGAGGGGTTAGCTAGTTTGATTATTGAAGCTCAGATGCTAGATCCTTCTAATATCATAGTTGATAAATCTATAAGTTAGAGTATAGTTAATGCATGTATTAGTATTGGATTATCAGACAAAGCACATGACATTCTTAATAAGATAAATGCTCTGGGGACCTCGGTGGGTCTTGGCTTGGGATCTATGTACCTATCTTGAAGGCGTACTGCAAAGAAAATAGAACTGCTAAGGCGCTACACTACTCGATTCGTGATGGAAATTAGTAACTTGGTTTTTTAGTTGGATATGGAAACACCTATGATGCTTGGATAGAAGCTGTTAATATATATTTAATGTAATTTATTACCTGTTTTAATACGATTATAGCTATATTATTTTATACGTGCCATATATCCTAGCTGTTAGGAAATTTCTTATAATCTCTCCTTTCTTGTATAACTCTTGTAATCTCTCACCTTTTTGTAAAAAAGGTATATCTTGTTGTCTATTTAAAAAAGAGAGGCCGCAGAAGGCAAATCAATTATTCAAAACAAAAGCTCTTGTCATACTGTAAAATGTTTTCTGGTCTCTTGATATTTTGAGAGAAGCATCCATGTGTAGTCAAGATTTCCAGTTGGGCCCTTATTAATCTTTACCCCTAAAAGAGTAAAACCCTAAATAATCATTTGTATCTTCCATATCTGCCCATGGATCTTGCCCTAACAAGTCCTCTATCAAGTTTCGGCAAGCCCTTTTCAGTACTAGAAGGGTTCCAATGGAAGGGACTTTATAAACGTAATGTCAGAACTCATCACTAGGCTCGGTAAGAGAAGATAAAAGGAATGAACTCCCTGGTAGCCCCTCCCATGGTTGTCAAACTCGCGAGTCAACTCGTAGAATCGGAGAAGAGTTAGCTTATGAGAATTGTTGAAGAGCTAATATAGAAACTATCCCTATAGTAAATTTAGGTCATGATAAGTGACTTTTTTTCTTTTAAAAAGTTTAGGTTAAGATAAGACACAACTTTATGTAAAGGTAGAGAGAACTTAATAATTTTTTAAAGAATTTTTAGTAAAACTAATGATAATTGTCTGGATGATAACACAATAGATTGAGGATGAATTTTGCTATCTTCGTCTCTACATCCATAAAATGTGAGGCAAGTTTGGGTTCAAGTTTTAAAGAGAAGAATGTATATTTTTAAAATGTATTTCCATCCCCATTACCACTAGACATTGTTAGGTTCAGATAGAACATATAGGACCCATCACCTTTAAAAAAAAAAGAATTAATTTACTTATACATTTTAAATAAATTAAATTACAAGTTAATAATTATATTATAATATGAATAATATATATAAAAAAATACTAGGCAATGGAAAAAAGGTGAAGTGCAACTATTGCACAAAAACTATCAGTGGGGGGATTTTTAGATTTAAGCGTCACCTTGCTGGTACTAGAGAAGATTCTGAACCATGTGCAATGGTACCGGAAGAAGTTAAAATTCTAATGATGAAAATTGTTGCGGAGGCTAAAGAGACATCAATGAGGAAAAAGAGATTGGTTGATATTGATGAGGAAGATGACATAGAGAAAGAGATGGAGATGAGGGCTTTGACAAAAGGAAAAGGAGTTGGTGGTTCTGGAGTTCAAATAACATTAAACCAAATGATGAAAAAAGACTACAAGGACCAAGTTGATCAACAAGTTGCAAGGTATTTTTACACAAGTGCCATTCCCTTCAATTCCATTAAAAATGTAGAGTTTATAAAGATGTGTGAGATGATTGGGAGATATGGAATTGGTTATAAACCCCCTTCTTATCATGATGTGAGGGAGAAGCTTTTGAAACAAGCTGTGATTGAAACTGATTCAATGCTTGAAGAGTTTAAGAAGGAATGGAAGAGGACTGGTTGTTCAATCATGTCTGATGGATGGACAGATAAGAAGAGGCGATCAATTTGTAACTTTTTGATCAATAGTCCTAAGGGGACAGTCTTCCTATATTCATTAGACACATCTGACATCTCTAAAACAGCTGATAAAGTTTTTAAAATGTTGGATGATGTTGTCAATTATGTAGGAGAAGAGAATGTTGTCCAAGTTGTGACAGACAATGCTGCAAATTACAAGGCAGCAGGTGAAATGTTAATGCAGACACGGAAGAATTTGTATTGGACTCCATGTGCTGCTCACTGTATTGATTTGATTTTTGAGGATTTTGAGAAGAAGCTAAAGGTTCATGAAGTGACTATCAAGAAAGGAAGAAAGATTACCACCTACATATACTCTAGAACAATGCTCATTAGCATGTTGAAGAAGTTCACTAAGGGGAGGGACTTGGTTAGGCCTGGTATAACTAGATTTGCTACTGCTTATTTAACTCTATCTTGTCTCAATGATAATAAAGCATCATTGATGTGTATGTTTAGTTCAAATGAGTGGAAATCAAGTAAGTTTTCCTCTACACCGGAGGGAAGAAAGGTGGAAGGCATGGCTTTAGATAGTCGTCTATGGAAGAACATAATCATATGTCTCAAAGCCGTTGTTCCTCTTATGACTGTCCTTCGCTTGGTGGATTCTGATGAAAAACCTGCCATGGGTTTTATATATGATGGGATGGATTGTGCCAAGGAAAAGATAAAAATCAACTTCGGCAATGTTAAGAAAAGGTAAACTTTTCTTAGTTCTAAACTATATTTCTATTGAAATTTAATGATCTTATTTAGTAAATTAGTATAGTTATGTACTGATGTTTCTAGTATATGATAATGGCAATATTCCTAACTTGCATTTATTTCATATTTATAGTTATGAACCTGTATGGAATATTATTGATGAAAGGTGGGATAAACAACTCCATAGACCCTTACATGCAGCTGCATATTACCTCAATCCCCATTTCCATTATGACCCTAATTTTAGAGATGATGATGTTGAGGTTAAACAAGGGTTATACAATTGTATGACAAGGTTGGTGAGTGACTTGAATGAGAGGAGCAAGATTGGTACGCAACTTGCTGAATTTCATTATGCTAGAGGGTTGTTTGGTCTTGATACTGCAGTGGCTAGTAGGAAGATTATGCTTCCTGCAGAATGGTGGGACTTCTATGGGGATGGATGTCCAGAGTTAAAGAAGTTTGCAATCCGTGTACTAAGCTTAACTTGTAGCTCTTCTGGATGTGAGCGTAACTGGAGTTCATTTGAAATGGTAATTGAATTAATGTCTTTGTTTTTAGTTGTTAATTTTTAATGTTTAGAAATTAGAGTTTTAGCCTTATAGGTAATCTTGAAATTTTGGTTTTTGTGTTCTATTTTCTAGGTTCATACAAAGAGAAGAAATCGCTTGCACCAAAGGAAGATGAATGATTTGGTTTATGTGATGTATAACTTGAAGCTAAAGAGTAAACAAGTGAAAAGAAATCTTGTTATTCCTTTTGATGAACTTCATTCTGATGATGAGTGGATAACTGAGGAAGGAGATGCTATTTTTAATGGAGAGGATGTCCAACCACCACTTAGGGATGAAAATGAAAATGTGGATGATGGTGGAAATGTTGAACTAGTTGGAGATTCAACCAATCCAACTTTAAATGACCTTGAGGATTTGGTCTTTGATGATGTGAATATTGAAGAACCCTTATCATCAGATGAAGAGGATGAGCTTGAAGAAAATGAAGATGATGATGATGCACATGCATTTGTTGGAGGATTGGACTTTGATTGATTAATTTAGATCTTGTTTTATGTTTTTGATTTGTGGACTTATGTGTTTTCGACTTTTGGTTGTTTATGTATGGTTAAGATTTGTATTATGACATTTTATTGTTGTTATTTGACTTATTTTAGACTTAGAATGTTGAAATAGTGATATCATATTGTGTGCGTTCATGTTTTTTAATATATTTTAATATTAGGTAGACTCTTACGAGTCTACGAGTCGAGTCTACGAGTCGAGTCTACCAGAGCTCCACGAGTTTGTGTAGACTCTCGAGTTTGACAACCTTGGCCCCTCCAGCAACAGTTTCCTCAGTAGTACTCTTGAGTTGCAAAAGCATTATGAAAAGAATGAGAGGTCTAAGGACCAGGTGTGATCTCCTAAGCTTGAAACCATTTTGGAATACAAGATTAGGTTTTCAACATGCAGATTCATAGGCTAAGAATGGAAAGAGAAAGAAAAATCGGGGAAATGTTTATTACTAAATAGTTCATTCTTAATTAGAAGTACACATAAAATTAATTTGCACACTGTAATTTAGACCATATATAAATTAATTATTAATTATTTCGGGCCTATCAAGATAATTAGCCACTAATTTTCCTGTTTATTTATAATTTTGTTAAATGATATTATAAAAATTAATTGCTTCAACTTGTTCTATAACTGTTAAGTATTTATTAGTTGTTGTACAAAATGAAGCTTGAATTATATACTTGCAATTGTTCGCCAATTCTGAGCCATGTTTAGTTTTTTCTATAGATTGTATGTACAACATAATGAACATATTCATTTGTACTATATCTGTTGCAAGTGGCAGAAATTTTGCTGCAGATTGGTTAAAAATAATAGAGCCATGATATTTACACAGAAATAAATATCACAGACCCAGACTCTTTTATATTTTTTAGGTATTGAATGATGATGGTGATCAAGAAAGATGGGATTTGGTCATTGAAACTGACTCAGATGCAGATGGGATTTGGTCTATGGCCTGTACCTTCTACAGCAAATTTTCTGTGCACTTAAATTAATGACAATAACTTTTATGGAAAGGAAGAAGGGAGCGACAAAGCAAGTCTTGATGCTTCCACAGATATGTATGTGCTGCATATTGTTAATTTCATATTTGTGGACACATCTTTTGGCTGTAGTATCCTATACTTAATTTTCATGCATGCTTTATAGGGTGAGCAATTATCGTGATGTTGCCCTCTAGCAGAAATTCTTTGTTCTGAGTTTTCTTGGCTAAGTTAGTGCGGTTACATCTGTAATCAAATAGGTGTAACGTAATGAATGATACCTAATGCCATGGAATCAAATCATGTACCTAGTTATTCTCTATTTTTCAGTCCAATTGTGCTTGACATTCTCAATTGCCATAGTGGTTTTTCAATTATGGATCACAAGCAAGGTTAAGTGAAACAAGCAATTCAAAAGCATTCTTGTTTTGGAACTTGTTAAAATTGGCACCAGCTTGTTTACTTAAATACTAATAAAAATAAAAATAAAGACCAGGCAAACAAGAGTACAAGACATAAAAAGTGGGTCTGAAAAGGTTTGGATGCTTAACATAATCTTAAATCATTATGATTTAAATCTGGTTTCAAAACAGGTTATGGTTTAAAACCAGTTTTGAACTATAAGTCAGTTTAAAAAATTCCAAACAGGATTTTTAAAAAAATATATGGATATAGATTTTAATACAAACCATTTAAATGGATATGGTTTGGATTTTTAAAAGTCTTAGGGCTCGATCGGGTTGATCGTGGGTTTAGTTGGACGGAACTCTTATTCAAGCACACTCAAAATAAGCAAGAGATGACATACAGTAAAGCCATGATCCATAAGCACTAACATCACTGCAACAGTAGGTCAACTAGATATATACACAGAGTAAAGCCATAATGACACAAGTCAGCATTGATCTTTGTCAGTCCTTCCTTAATTCAGTTTAAACTAATAGAAGATCCACAAAACACCCCAGAAAAAAATACCATTTTTGCAAAGAACCCTCTTCCTGAAGCTCAACCATAGTAACACACATACTACTGTAAAAGAATCTTGTAGCAAAAGATACACACTCACCTTGTCATTCACTTCGCAAAACTTCAATCTCTCAGTGAAAATGCTGTCCCCGTTGCTTACTTTAAACTGGTGCGAACCAATCTGAACCAATAAAAACACACACAAACAAATGAACAATCACCAAAAGAGGAAATTAGAAAAAAAAAATTACCCAGAATAACATAGAGCATTCGAAAATGGAACCTGAACAACAGCGAAAACAGGCTCGTAGGGCTTAAACACGTCATCGTCCTTTTGAAGTGGACCCACCACTCTGTAGCCAATATCCGCCGCTTCCGCCTCCTTCTCCTCCGCCGTGTACACCTTTTTCCCACGCGACGCAGCGACGTAATCATCACCGTCTTCATAATCCTCCTCTTCATCATCATCGTAATCCTCTTCGCTATTATCGTCTTCGTCGCTGCGTTTGTCGGAAGAGAAGTAGCGTGGGTGTGGCCATCGTGCAAAAGCGGAGGCTGGTTTGGCGAAAAGCGGCGAAGAAGCTTTGGCGCGAGGAAATGGAGGCACAGTGAGTGAGCGAAGAGACGATGAGCTTCTGAAGAGAAACGGCGTCGTTTTCGTTAAGGCTCGCAGGCACCTCCTACTCGCCATGGATGCTACTGTCGAAGTTCTCAAAACTAGGTTTTGTTTTGATCACACAGACGCAACGGAAATGAATCGCTGTCACCGCGCTACTTGCTCCTCCTCCACCTGCACCCACATGGGCCTCAAACAAGCCCAACCCTCTTTCTTCATTTTGGACACGCCATTTGGGCTCAGGTAATTTCAGCCCAACACTGTTTTTCTCTAGGATCATGATATATACACCTCCTTTTATTTGTACACCCCTTTTTTTTCAAAAAAAAATAACAAAAATTCTTAAAATGTCGTTAATTTTTTTTTTTATTTTTTTATTTTTTTTATTTTACACTCCTAACATCTAATTTAACACTTTTTTTACATATCTCTTTCCATTATTTTCACATGCACCCCTTAATTTTTCTTTATCCTCACATATTTTGGTAGATAATTTTAATCTTTTTAACTTTATATTATTATTTTTCTCTTTCTCTTTCAGTTTTCTCACTGATTTCACTATCCGCATAATACTCTAGAATAGTAAAAATATATTTTTCATAATACTAAACTTAATGTTAAGGTTTTTGGAGGGTTGAAAAGAAAGGAAGTGGCGAAAGAAAAAATGTGTATCTAATTTGATAGAAACTGTCAAGGAAACTACACGTATCTACGATGTTGTCGCTTAACAGTTCTATGATTTGGGTGCATGTGAAAAAGTGAAAAAGGTGAGAAAATAAAGAGTAATATAAAAATCGAGATAACTAAAACTACCCACTGAAATATGTGAGGAATTAAAGGAAGACAAGATATTGCATGTGAAAACTGGAAAAGAGAAGGAAGGAGGTGTGTGAAAAGAAAAAATTGTAAATTGAAAGTTAGAGATGTAAAATTAAAAATTTTAAAAATAAAAAAAATTATGAATATTTTAGAATTTAAAAAAAAAATAAAAGAGGTGCACTTATAAAAAAAAAAAAAAGTGTATATATCATTAGCCTTTTCTCTAACGGTGATTAGAAGGGCAGAGAGGGTTTGTGTTAAGCATTACTTCGTTATAATTTATACTACTGTTAAAATATTTTATTTAATTTGTGTTAGATATTTTATAATGAATTTTATTTAAAATAGAAAGGATTTTTGTTTATAATAATTTTAATGAACTTTTTTTGAAAAGTTAAATTTATATGTTGTTAGTCGAAGTCATACCTCTTATACAGGATATTCAATTGAAGTTTTGTGAATAAAGAAAAAATAATAATTAGGAAGAAAAATTTACTAGTAATCATCATATAAATTTTCAAAAAAAAATATTAATTATTAACAAACTGAATAAATATTTCATACTAAAGATAGAAATTTGATAATTGTAACATAAATAAACTGGAGAAAGAATAGTGGTGGTTTGTTTTAATAAAAATGGGTTATAAGAGAAATTTATAAACATGGAATCCACGTCTATAAATTTCTTTGTTGAAAATAAGATAAACAACAAAAAGATAGATGATAAAAATTGTTTTTACACTTTTACTTTCATAAATAATTCACAACCACTTTTCACTAACTCTCATTATTCTTATCAACATACTCATTTAAAAGTAACTAATTTTAAAAGTCAAGACTTACAAAATCAATTACTTTAAAATCGGTCTAACAACTGATTTTAAAAATAAAAAATAAATAACTTTAACAGTCTTTTTTCCACTAGTGGCATCAAGATTGATAGCTTCTGATGGAGAATTAGGGTCGTCAAAATGATCTTTAGAGAGGAGAATGAGGAACTTGGGCGTAGCACACTTGTGATCCTGATGGTACTTTTTGTCACAATAATAACACAAACTCGCAACAAGCATTCTTGTAACTGATTTTGAGAAAGGCGTTTAATAGGAAGCTTAGTGGGAGATGAGGAAAGGGAAGGTGTGGCCATAGAAGTAGTTGGAGTGGCAAAGTGTGTTTTAGTTGTTGAAGTAAAACTTCTTGAAAACCTAGGTCACAAGATGCCACTTATTTTGTGAGTACAATGGCTTGAGTGAGAGTGACAGGACAAGAGATGGTCAACTTATGCATAATCTCATAATTATTATTTTTGGAACAGCAAAAAATTATATATTGATGAGGTATAAGAAATGCCTTTAAGTCTTTTACATAAATAACATCATATAGATCCTCTGATTCATTGTTAGCCATAATTTACTGTGTGAAAGAAGCATATTATTGTCTAAACATGTACTCAACTCTAGAATGTTACACTCCCTACTTTACTCAACATCCTCACCTACTTGACCCTACACATGACCTCATAATTATAACCTCAAATAAAGTAATTAAGAAAAATTTCAACAATAAGACCAAAAGTGTGATTAAAAAGTTTTCAAAATTTGCAGGGTAATCAGTAATAAAGCCCTATTGTCGAATTTTGAAAAGCTCTTGTTGATGGTTTTCATAAGTGGAAGGCCCAAACCGCATCTCAAGGGCATGTGTAAAAGACACCCAATCTATCGATTTTTGGTTCTAGTACATCCATTTGAACCAGTTTAAAGCCTCCCTTTCATATTAAAAGTATTGACCAACAGACGTTGATCCCATGAAACCATGTAAAAAGCACAAAAATATGATCTACTTGAAAGAGCCAATTTAAAGGGTCAAATCCATCAAATTTGTTGAGTGGAAGTTTTGGGGGACAAATTTGAATAAAGGATGAGGGTGAGGGTGATGGTTAAGGATGAATAAAAATGGAATAAATTTGGGAAGAAAATGAAGGTTGAGGTTGAGAAAAAGATCCAAGAATGGAGAGAGGTGGTGGAGAAAGAGGAGGTGGGGTAAGAAGCGATGCAGGGGGAGGTGGTAGGGGGGAGGTGGTAGTGTGGAGGTGGTCGATAGCCCCAGAAGGTTTGTAGGTCTAATGTTTGAACAAGTGAAGTCGAAAAGAGGTAGGAATAAGTGCTAGTTGGTCAAGCATTCCAACCATAAAGGAAGTCATGGTATCATAGCAATTGGTGTGAATAAAGTTTTAGGCTACGGATTCAGCTTGGAGGTTGTGAAATTAGGTGGGGAGGTTTTGGATTGGATCACCAAGTCCATTGGAAGAGAAATCATCTTTAGGAAGCATAGATAAGCTTAATGAAAGCACCAATTTGTTAACTATGAACTAGAAGATATAAAGATTAACCATGAGCTCTACATTTACTGTAGAAAACCTTTATATTTCATAACTCTAAACCATTACAATTGAGAATAAAAGGAGATATTTTAACAATCGTAAAGATCAAGCCTTACATGTGTCCAACTTTGCACAACTGATTAAAGGAAAACTGGCTGTAACACCCATTTGATTTGATCTCTCAGCGACTCTACTCCACGATACTTCACACAACTCCTCGTTGGTCAAAACCCTTCATCAGTCAGAACCCTCTGTGGGTAGCCTTTTTTAAGATGCACGTCTGCCTTTAAGATCAACAATTGATCCCACAAATCAACACAAGACTTTTTGTCATGCTTTGTCCTCACTTTCACACTTTTTGAAAAAACTTCCCAGAAGGTCACCCATTACTAAATTTCTCTAAGCCAAACACATTCAATTGTGGAGTTCTTATGTGATGAGCTACCTAAAAATAGATGCATCTTATTGATATAGGTAGTACAAATTAATTCATTTAAATCATCTTTAACCGTACAATCTCATGCTTGTATAATCTCTAGATCCCTCCCATTCTGGTGTGTTAAGAGATTATACAAGCATGAGATTGTATAATTGAGGACGACTAGTTTGTATTAACTATATCAACGAGATGCATCTATTTTTTGGTAGCTCATCAAATAAGAATTTCATAGTTAAGCGTGCTTGGCTTAGAGTAATTTAGGGATGAGTAACCTTTTGTAAAGTTTTTCAAAAAATGTGCGAGTAAGGACAAAGCATGCCAAAAAGTCATGTGTTGGTGTGTAGGGTCAGTCATTGATCCTAAAGGTAGATGTGCATCTCAAAAAGGGTTATCCACGAAGAGTTCTAATTGATGAAAGGTTCTGGCCAATAATGAGTTGTGAGAAGTGTCATTGTATGAAGTGTCGTGGAGTGGAGTCGTTGAGGGATCAATTATAAGGAATGTTACACTGGCAAGAAAGGATAACAAATACCATGAATAATAATCTTTGAGCCATAAGGGGTTTAGGGTTCTTCACTTGGGCTTGTTTGATTGTTCCTATCGGACTTCTTCATTGTTAACAAAAACTTTATACTTTTAATTAGAGATGACAAAAAAATTCCTACCTATGAGTATTAGAGGATAATATCCACTAGAGATAAAAATGGGTATTATTAATAGGTACTTGTGAGTAACAAGTACAAGTATTTTTTATACCCGTATGTTAACAAGATAAAGACAAATGTTATAATATATGTACATATTGCTAATATTAACTTACTTAATTTGTGCATTTTTTTTAAATATATGTATGTATTAAGGGATTTTATGCAGTTGTCTTATACAAATTTTATTTATGTAGATTTTGTTTTATGCATACTTTATTTTAAACAATTTTTTTTAATCTAATTTCTTATTTTTGCGGATTTTATTTTATGAAGATTTTTATGTTATTTTTTCTTTAATAAATACTTGTGAGTATTCATGTATATGCAAACATTAGATTTTTTTTTAGTGCAAATAATATATACTTATATAGAAAGATATGAGACTCGTACTTATCCAAAAGAGAGAGTAACGAAAACATACTACAACTATCCAATGCTCTGTTCACATCCCTATTTTAAATTATGGATTTAAATATATTTATAATCTTTCATATTGAAGGGATATTTATTTTTAGTCTCTTAAATTTAAATTTTTTTTAATTTCTATAATTTTTAAAAATATTATTTTAATCTATCAAATTACTAATAATATATATATATATATATAAGTGATAGATTGAGATAATTACATAATATTAATTAAATTTAATGTAATATTTTTATTAATAAAAATATTACATTAAATTTAATTAATATTACATAACTATTTTAAATAATTATAATAATTAAAAATATTAATTTTAAATTCGAGAGACCGTTGAAAGGGCTTTTTGACTTGAATAAATAAAAAAAAATATACGAAATAAATT